CAATGCTAACGCAAAAGTTATTCTTACTTCGATAAATTCTCTTCGAAACCGACGTTTGCAGCATTGAAAAATTGAAAATTGAATTTTTTCTTTAAATGAGGTAATAATTGAAAACTTTGAAAGTAATTTAGAGAAAATTATACGAAAACGATCTTTTCATTCCTGGATCTGGGGCTAAATTATCATTCTCTCTCCGAGTCAACGGCCAAACTAAATGAATTTTGACATAACTATTAAACTAACTAACTTTATTTATTTATTGTAACTAACCTTAGATAATTGTTTAAATCAGTGTTACTCTGTAACTAATCATTCGACTTATAGACTACGAATTAAAAACACGTATATTTTTATATTTCCTTCGTTTATTTCAAACAAACTAGCACCACTTAACGCATCATATGCGGGCTATCTAGCGTATTTCAATTTTTTCTATCTTTTGCTTATTTTTTACGACTTGACGGCTTCGGAAAAGCATTTTTAAAAATCTAAATGTGCAAGTTTTTTTAGTTCCTCGCCATGGATCGTTTCCTCGATGATTTCTTACCATAAAAAGGAACAATTTTATAAAATACTTTAGGGATCCCATTTCGACCGACGATATGTTAAAAATGTACTAATATGTGTTAAGAAATGTATTATTAGTTCTTAATTAACATTACCGTAAGGAACACTCCGCGAGGGTGTGTTGCACCGAGTCCTGGTAGATGAGGTCGGCCAGGACCTCTTGTCGCCAGCCCTAATTAGGGCGATGTTGGCGAGCGAAGAGTCCTGGGACGCAGCGGCCTCCTTCTGTTAAAATGAAAGAAAAATTTGTTTAATGTAAGAAAAAATGGCAAAAAAATGAAAAGAAGTATCACATTTGATTTAAAATTTTTTGATCGCAAAAGCAGTTTGCTGTGCAAGATCGAAGGGATAAGTTACAGAACAGTTCTATCGTTTCTCGTTCTTTTCTCCGGATTATACGTAACGAAATGAATTCTAAACGCAAGCGGAAAACATTAACATCGGCTGATAAAGTAAACGTAATTGAAACAGTAAAAACTGGATCAAGAAAGAAAAAGGATAGCGCTAATGACCTCTCTTACTCGAAAACTCCATAAGTCGAAACCTCTGTGACTCGAAGATTTTTTCTAGAAAATCTGGCACTTGCATCTTGACGAAACTACTAATAGAAAAAAGAATGCGAAATAAATGTCTTCTTAGAGAACATCGGACAACGATTTGGTCGATACTAATGGAAGAAGAGGAAGATGAAAGGAAAGAGGAACGAGTTACCATTAGAAGGGAAAAAGAAAAGTTGCGACTTTTGTGATAAATCTGAGGACAGAAAGAGTAATGAATTTTGTAAAAAATGTAGTACATGCTTGCATGGTGAAACTTAGATGAAACAGAACTGTAATTTTATTATTCTCATTTTTGACAATAAGACAATGACCCAAAAAATATTTTACAAGACGTTATTTCTATTAAATTGTATTTTGTATTTAGATTGTGTATTTCTGTAGCGTTTTCCAAACATATTGTGATTTTTTAAGAACGTTTGTTTCTTGAGATATATTTAGTCCATAGCATTTTGCTATGAGGTAGACGTAATTAGTGTCTTTAGTACTATTGAGAATCATATAATTAGTCAAAAAATATTTTCTTATTATTTATTAAATTTTTTATATTTATATTATTATATATTATACAGGGTGTCCCGTAACTCCTCGAACACCCGGAAATGGGAGGTTGCTGATATGACTCTGAATAACTTTTTCCTTTTCCAAAATCCAGTTTGAAGCTTCGTTTTCGAGTTATTAACGAAAAACACTGGCCAAT